TTTTGAGTTGTTGCCCCCTTTTCCGTGCACTTAATGAATATAACAGCGTGGGTATAAGTTTCAAATAACATACCGTAAAAAATAAAGAAAACTACTAACATCTTTTTCGTCGTGCTCCGTTTCATAATGAATCAACAATCGCCGAGGATAAACGAAGTTACGGGAGCAGCATTTACATGGAGCTGGCGTTTCCCGTGTAATGACATGAGCTTCATTCAAATGATCTTGCATGCTCTTACATTGGCTGAACCGTGCTTCACACTTCGCAACTGGACAATCGAAATCGGTTCTCGCTTTTATATGTACCATCAAATGATCACGCACCTAAAACTGCAGCATTGAAAACCCACGAGCAAGAAAGCCGGCACCAATATAAATTTCAGTCCGCATGCCCATAATTTTATGAACTACGACGACCAATTACTTCACCGTGCTTCCCCTCTTCTATTGCTCCAGTGAGTGAAACCAACTTACAAACTCACACAGTGACTGCAGAACACAATCTGAATTTAAAAAGTCACTATGGTACTGCCTGAATATTCTGCAAACGCACTGTCCGTGGAAAATTCAAAAGCTCCCATCGTAAGCATTGAAGTTTGCGCACACTTCGAAAAACGCACTTGCAACGATTCCGCACTAACGTGGTCCTGCACTTTATATGATTCTGTATGTTCTACATACATAGACAATTAGTGGGATTCCTGCGTGTTTCCGTGCAGCAGCAAGATTGTTGAAAATGAAAATATTTGATATGTGCAATCACTTCTACATTTTGTTGATCTTTTCCCACACGTTATAACAAAAGGCACTGTACGGACCACTAAAGCGACACTATAAGTCTTCATGAAATTTCAGTTACCCAGCTTGCATGATCATCGTAATGAGAAGATACCGACAATCCTACAACCAGAACTTCGCAGTACCCGCACGTGAGAAATAGATTTTTGTAAGAGATAATATTAGGCTTTAAGGATTGCACAAGATATACCTGAATCCCCGCACAATTTCACCTTTCTAACCTACCCTTTACCGAGAGAGAATGCTGACGACAACATCGCAATTTAAACATTTGGTATGCCCGAACACGCACCATATG